CCCCCCCCGCCGGCGTGCGCGAGTTTGCAAGATGGATGCTAGAACGCGAAGTAGGTTCTGCAGTCGTGAATACACTCTGCTGGAGAGCGCATCTTTAACAGTTAATAAAATGATCTTGTGAGAGCAAGAGGGAGAGAGAGAGGCGGTAGGAAAATCAATTGTTTAACAGGTGTTTTTTTTTACCAGAAAACAAATATTAATAAATTCTCCATAAATAAAAAAATGTTTTAACTTTTGCAAAAAGGTCCCTTTTCCATATTTATTTTGAAAATGGTGTTTTGAATAATTTCTGAAAATAAAAGTTTGAAAAGATCAAATGCACTTCAAGTGAATAAGATGCATTGATATAGTCTGTTTTGATATGTAATACTGGTCACTTGTTAAAGAATTGAGAATATCAGACGGGGNAACTTAGATTATTTGATATAACAGAATTCATAGTTACATTTTTTTGAGAAGCTTTTTTCTCCTACTATTCTTGAAATTTTTTGTTAGTTTTAAACAATAAATTTTTTAAATACTTAAATTTTTGCTCAAAATTCTTTCCTTACATGATCTTAAATTTTAATCCTTTGACAAATCTATTTCGATAAAGTAAAACTCTTTGTAAAATATATCATGTGTTTTTAAACAAAGAATATGAAAATTTTAAAAATCATATTTTTTTGCGCTGAATTTTGTTTAATGATTTTAGTTCTCATGGTTTCACCCTTTAAAAAGCCTGAAAGAAACTGAAAATTTCCCACAAATTCTAATTTTCTTATCCTTACATGTAAACAATTTGATGGTGTGAACCTTTGATATTTCAAACTTTGATTTTTCTATCAGAATCATAGTTTGAATATCAAATTTTTCGTTCGACATAATATAAGTTTGCAAAGGGATTAAAAAATTATAAAATGTGAAATTTAATTCAATTTGTTAATTTTTTGATGTTTTAAAGATTTTTTTTTATCATAATATCATTTGAATTTAAACACAAAATTTTGTCAAGGTATAAAAACTGTATACGTAGGAATGTTAGAAGTATAAAATCTGACATCATAATGTTCTCAAGTTTCAAGTATTCCAAGATATCATTATTCATAAAACTGGTTTTTTTTTTTTGTCAAAATCTCTTAAATTTCACACAAAACAAAGTTAGACCTATTGCATGTTTTTAAACACAATTGCCTTTTCTGTAGAACTGCTGAAGAGAAAAAAATATGCAAGAAACAATTTTTCAGTTTTAGCTACGAGATTGCAATGTCGCACCAATAATTTTACATTAAGAGCCAGAAATGTTCTCATACTTTATCTGATAATATAGTATATAGTATATATATATATATATATAGCATGCACTTTATCGTTGGAAAAACTTGTAGTTCTAGAAAAAATCGAAAAATTGTCATTTAAGAAAAAAACTTTTTGCCAATTGGGAACCTTGGAAATGCTATATAAGCTGATACCAATTATCAAGTTAACGAGAGAATGATAAACTGAGTTTAGATTATAAATAATTAAGCAATAAGTTTCGCAGTTAAACTAATGGCATCATTAGCTGATGAGTAGTGATGGAGGTTTTGGTTGCGGGGTTTGGAGGAGGGGTTATTGGGTTGTTTGGTAGGTTTGGGATTTGTTTGAGCAATTTGATGATTGTTGTTGGTTGGTTGGTGGATTTATTTCTTTGCGGATTTTATTTGTATGTTTTGAGAGTTTTTGGGTTGGTTGGTCGATTTAGGGGGTTGCTTGATCATTTCTGAGATTGTTGGACCGGGATCCCTGGTTTGGGGATTGGTGTGAGGGTTCGGTGGGCTGGGTTGGTTGTTTGGTTAGTTGGTTGGTTGGTTTGTTGGTTGACCCTATATCTTTGCAACCTGACTATATATACCTTTCATATTTCAAACTTAGATTATTTGATATAACAGAATTCATAGTTTGAAATATCTAAGGTCTACAACATTGGCTTGCAAAGATAAAAGGATTAGAAAATCAGAGTTTGTTGCAAAGACTCAATTTCTGTCCTATAGCGTTAAATCAAAGCGTTGATGAGGGCGGGGCTATTTTTTCTTCTGAATACCACTCCTTTTAAAGGATTGAATTCCTGGAATAGTTGAGAATTGTAAACTGAATGCATGAGATCACAGATATTCTAAAGAATTGAAAACACTCCTTAACTTTTTCACTTTTCAAACCCCGCGTGGAAAATTCATTTCCAATGATTTAAAAAAACATTTCATACTTTTATTTAAGGTTTACAAATTATGATAAAGACTGCAAAATGTTCATTTTTAACATTGCCAATGATTTTTCTCCTTTTTTGTTTTGCCATTTTTTAGAAATTGCCACCCATTTCTCTTTAATAATGGCGACTATTTATCTTTAAATTTTGGCAATTATTTATCATTAAAGATTGCTAACTATTTGTTGCCAAATTGATTGTCATTTTTTTTTTCTTTAACATTGCCAATAGCGTTGCCACGCTAAAACTTTTACTGCAGTCTTCACTAAATTAGCATCTTTTTAACTCCTTCAACCGTCTTGTTTTATTAACATTTTAAACTAAACTCCTTGACCTTTTTACAAGTACCCAACATTAAAGTTTGTAGCCCCCCTTTTTTCACCAGTTTTTGAACTTTTTGTTCCTAAGCCTTTTTACTCTCCGTGTGAAGCCTTTTTAAAAACTTCATGAATTCTTGAAACATTAAATGAATTTATTTTCGTTTTTATTCAGAGACTGTTTTTAATGTTTTTTTTCATGTAAATATAAGTTTTTATTGTATTATTACTTAAGTTTTATATCGCCAATCCCTATTTCTTTGAAACCGGATGGTGTAAGTCCTTGATATTTCAAACTTAGCATATTTGACAGTATTCATAGCTTGAAATGACCAAGTTTTTTGCATCGGTTAAAATATTTTTTATGAACTTCTAAATTTTTGATTTCCCGTCTGTAAGTTCTGCNTTGTATTAGATTAAAATAGATTATATGGAATTAAAAATGTTCAACATCAGCAAAAATTTACATAATTTGTCTCAATTGTGTTGAATAATATTCAAAGATGATTAAAACCGGGCCAACTTTCAAGTGTTACCAGTCCATGAGATACTATGAGAGTAACTCTTATACTTTATTTTAGCCCATGATAAAAATATTTTAAAGCGCTTTTTCAGCTTAAATTGCTCATTCTTTACACATCGTTTTTACATTATTCATCAAGACACGTCATCCATAGATGGAACACAAGTCATCCAAACCACTCCTACAACGACTCATCTCACTTGACTCGTAGTTTTCCTACCAATTATCTCATCATTTCACTGAAATCATCAAGTTCAAGCCGTCATTGTTAACAAGAAAACAAAATTGATAAATATCATTAAAAAAATGTATTCATCGCGCAATTATTAGGAATTCATTTATTCACTCAAGTTTAGTTCCGTCAAAAATGCATTTTTCCTTATCATTAAATTCTTTTTAAACGAAAAGGTCGTTAAAAGTCAGTTAGAATTTAATCTTCATACAAATTATATCAATAAATTATTTTGTGAATTATTAAACAACATTATTTGGTGAAGAATAAAGGGATAACTAAGAATGGTAGAGTTTTATACTTTTATTTTAGCAAACCTTTTATAATTGATATATTTGCCATGGGATTAGAATATCTTTACATTATTGTGTGAATTACGGTGAAATATTGTGTAATATTGCAAGAAAATAATGTTTATTTTAATTTATCTAAAATTCACTTAAAAAAATTATTAAAAAAAATATTTTTGAACAATAGTAAAAATACTATAATGTTGGGAGAGCAAAAATTTTTAATTTAAACCTGCTGTTTCATCGCTAAAAGAATACACTCTCGCGTTATCCCAAACAAAAGTTGCCCTCTCTTAATTAGAATATTAAAAAGTAAAGGATTTAGCTTTAAGTTTGTAGAGCTTATTTTACCGCCAAGATTATGATAAAATTTTAATTAGAAATTCCGAAAATTTAGCACTTACGGTTCATTTCATATACCAGACCATTTTTAAGCACTGCCAAAGAAAGATGGTGAAAAATTTTAATTCTAGAAATTATTCTTTTTGGTCGAAAATATACAGGGAATTTAGTCTAATGTGCAATGTTAATTATTCGAAATATGTTAGAAAGTGTTCATAATGTTAAATAAATTTTACCACAAAAAAGATAAGTAACGAAAAATTATTAAGATTTATCAATTTAATGAAATAGATAATAACATTTGAGAAATAAAATGCAAAATAAGAAGAAAATTCAATGAATGATTACAGTAATAATGATAATACTTTTCCAGGGTGAGGAGGTAGTACAGGTGGTTGACGAAGCCATGGCGAACGCTGAACGAGAGCTTGCAGAGGACGCAGAGTGGAAGCGGATTCAGCAGAACACATTCACAAGGTACACCTTCATCATCATCATCATCTTCATTTTTATTATCCTGATCTTTTAGATCATCATTAATACCATCATCATCATCTTCATGTTCATCATAATTTTGTTCACCATCATTATAATCTTGATAGTTTTTATCTTCATGCTCATCTTATTTTACTGAATCAATCCTTGTTATGTCTTTATATTCATGCTGAGAGCACTCATCCTTACCTAAATCATTATTTATCTGTGTTTATAAGATTTTATTTTATTTAATGCGCGTGATTAGTTATAAAGTTTGATTTTTGCAGATATTGATATAAAAAAATCCAACAAAATTTATTTTTTCCTTAGATGGGTGAATGAACACCTCCGACAAGCTGGAACAGGTTTAGAAAAACTTGAAACAGATTTTAGGTAATCTTCAGAAATGTTTGTTGATAATTAAATATGATACATGACAGTTTTTTAGAGGCATTAGGTCTTTGCCATTGTTTTTAACATTCTAATTTAATTCCACTTCAAAAAGTGCATATTTCACGTGAACAATTATCTAGAGGAATATTGTTCTATATCTCTTAATTGAAAGCATTATAAATATTATTATTATTATCATTATTATTATTGTAAGTAATATGATTGTTATTATTAGTGATGGGTTGAAGCTCATAGCCCTTCTCGAGGTGCTGAGTGGTAAGAAGATGCCAAGACACAATAAAAAACCAGTTTTCAGGTAAACACTTTTTTCTTCATTTTTTGCCGAAAATTTCATTTACATTAACACTAAATGATATCACTATTTATTGCTGTACAGTGTACACTGCAACAGTTTACAAAATAAAATCCTTGCATTTAAAATATTTTCAACGGAAACATAAAATATTGTTCCCTTGAACCACGGAATATTAAATTCAAGGTGCAGTTCTAAACTTCTAATATTTGCATTTAACTCGAGAGATATTTTGATGTAATATACTTCTGATGCTAGCTTTAACTTCCCCCACCCCAGGCAAATATACCCCCCCCTTTCTCACACGAAACTGAAGTGTTTTTTTTTCGTTTGTTTATCCTTCTGGAACAATTTAAGAAATATTTTGATATTTCCTAACTTAAAAAAAGTTACATTTTAAGTCTGTGAATGAAATCTATGATAGTGCATAAACGGGATACGAAGTCGCCTTGGAAATCCTTCCTTTTTTTCAAGTGCTGCGATATGATTATCGAGTATCCACTATCCTGCACATTTATTCCTTTGGAGCGCCCGTTTTTAAATATTTGTTTGTGTACATTGTACTTGCATTTAAGAATAATTGGAAAATACTAAAAAGATTTTTTAGAAATAAACGGTGAGTTTTTTTATTAATAAAAGAATCTATTCACTTTTTCATATAAAATGTTTGTCCACAAGTTTTGGGAGACCTCATAGTAGTAATTCAAATGTATTTGCTTGAGTAAACTGTGAAAATGGCGTAACCAGCACTCCCTGTAGTATTACCCAATAATTGGCAGGATTTGACAAATTACGTATTTGTGGGCACAGGCAGTGGACATGGTGCATGTAAACAGCCTAGCAGGGGTCTATATTCTTTCAATCATTTTTTTAAACTGTATTTTCTTACATTCGTTTTATCCCTTTTAACTTCGGCCTAAATGGACTGTAGAATAAAAGGTATATTCAATTCACATCTTTTAAACAATAAGGAAGATATCATCGTTTTTCTAGCTTTAAAGTTTTAAATTCTGACAATTTCCGTCAATGTATTTGCTGAATAAACCAGCAAATAACTTTAAAGAGAATTCCCACTAGAAAATAGGGATATCTCGTTTATCCTTGATTGACCCAGGTTCAAAGGGTCACATAAAATTCCATTTACAATACACAGTACAATACGGTTACAGTCCCTTTAAGATGCACATTGCACATATTTACATGAGGAACCGTCATTTACAATACACGGTACAATACGGTTACAGTCCATTTATCTTTATCTTTATCTTTATCTTTATCTTTATCTTTATCTTTATCTTTATCTTTATCTTTATCTTTATCTTTATCTTTATCTTTATCTTTATCTTTAGCTTTATCTTTATCTTTATCTTTATTTTTATCCTTATCTAAATCTTTTTTATTCTAGTATGGAATTGAAAAGTGTTCCATTCTTACAATTTCCTCCAAATTGTTACTTTTGGGGCTAAAAACATTGGTCAATTAATATACTTTAATTTCTGCAAATTGTTGATCATTTTCTTGCAAAACTGGATCCGGATCCTGGTCAGCGGTCATGCATTTTTTTTTCAAAGTTAACGTACTGATTTTGTTGCACAATTAATTTTTTTTAGTTTTTTCTTTCTTTTTTTCCCGCTTATTACGAAGTTTTTTAAAAACCGCTCGTTAGTAAACAGTTGAGATTTGTGTTTTGAGACCAACAATTTAATTCTCAACAGGTTATGGAATATGGATGATATTTTGCTCCTTGGATCCGGATTCGTGGATCCTCATATCTTTACAGATCCGGATCCCGAACCAGTAACCAGGAAGCCAAAATGTTGTGGCTCTTTAAGCTGGGCTAAATACTTAAACTTGTAAAATGTAAAATCGATAATTTATTTGTTGTTAATTTCAGATCCCAGAAGCTAGAGAATGTGAGCATAGCGTTGAAATTTCTTGAAAACGAAGGAGTACATCTTGTCAATATTGATTCAACAGGTAATACCAGATTCTATATATTAAAGGGACTGTAAGCGTGATTTCACGCGACCCTCTATACGAAAATTGCAATGCACGATTCACAACTGTTACCCTAAAAGTGTTGTCATTGTTTATCATTTTGAAAACTGATTATTTTTAATTTTGTTTTCTCCAAAAAAGAAGTGCCTTGCGCATTTCTACTGCAGTAAAACATTGAGGAATTAAACACTAGAAAAAGGAGAATATATCTGCTGAATATTGGATAAGATAAAGGTTTCAAAAGTATCGTTGTGAATCGGGTATTATCAGCTCTGAATGGAGGGTTACTTGAAATTAAACTTACAGTCCCTTTACATTTGAAACATTAAAGATAAAGGAATTGAGTCTTTGCCAACAAATTCAATTTTTGTAATCCTTATTTCTTTGCAACCTGATGATGTACACCTTTGATATTTCAAACTTACATTACTTGATCTAACAGCATTCATAGTTTGAAATATTAAAGGTTACGACAAGGGGTTGCATTGATATTGAAATTAGAAAATCAAAATTTGTGGTAAAAAAGTCAATTCCTTTTTCAGCGGCGTGGACCAATTGTTGCAAATGATACACTTTAAAGAATTATTGATGTCTAACGTACTATTTTGAGTATTAATTGAATTTGAGTCCAATATTCTTAACCAACTTTATCATAAAGACATTCCTTTATTTAAAATAAAATATGGAGTAAATAATGCAACGTTATTTTTAGGAAAAAGACCGCCGAATTTTTTGTTCTCCAAACGTAAATAAGTTTTTGTGAAATTTTCTTTTCCCTTTTCCTTATATACTTCAAACACTTTTAATAATTTTTTATCCGTTTTTACTTTCTCTAAACAACTCATAACTAATTTTTTAATTTCTTATATTTTCTGTTAATTGTCTAGAGACAAAGAAAGTTGGCTGAATGATTTGCATTTTTAAAAGATTCAATTCTTACTTTTGTAAAGATAAAATCAAAACATTTATGTTATCTTCAACAAAAGTTCACATGGTTCTTAAGTTATTTTGATTGTTTTTACTAACTTTCTTGAGTGTGAAAAACCCGTTCCAACCCCTCTTTTAGCAACCCTACCCCCTCCTTAGCATTGTTAATATTTGAAATTTGTATCTTTTGATTTGAATAAGATAGTTTGATATTCTCTAGGTTTGAATGGGATAAGATAAGATAGCATGAGCTTGTAAAAGTTGTCATGGTTTTAAAATTATTTTGATTGTTTGAGTTTGTGTTAAAAACCCCTCATCCTCCTGTTAGCAACCCTTCCCCCCTTCTTAGCATTATAAAGAAATACGGTACTATGGGAATATGCTAAGAGTATCTATATATACTTTATATATACATTTAGCTTGTCTGTCTGTTTGTTTGTATCCAATAAACGTCAAAATGGCTGAATCGATCGGGCCCAAATTTTGTGTGGGACCTCGCGTGACCCCGTGGAAGGTTTATTGATGATCAAAATTTCAAAAATAAGTTCAAACAATTTTTTTTATAAAATCCGCCAACTTTTTTTTGTTATTGTTTTACAATGTATTCAAAGAGAAAATGTTCACAATTGAAATAGAATATGGAAGCGAAGCGCCCTTAAACCCTAGTATTAATATATTTTATTAGAAGAACACATTAAAGACATCTAAAATCTGAAACAACCTTTTGTAGATTAAAATTCTCCATAGGTTTGAATTTGATAAGATTGCATGAGCTCTAGGATTGTATTTGATTAGAAGGGTGGATGTATGAATTTGAGGGAACAAGATTGGAAGTTTAGCAAAATAAAACTTTCTCCAGTGCAGCCCCTTGCTGCACACCAAACCTGCAAACTTGATATAAAAATCGTGTCGGGTTCAGGCCATATATTCAGTTTATGGACCACTTGTCTTCTTTTCTACTGTCTACCTGTCTACTCGTCTACTTTTGAATTCTCTACTGATTTTCTAATTTCTATTTGTCTAGTTTTTAGTTTATCTTGGTTATTTTTTTTATCTTGGTTATTTTTAATATTTTTAAATTTCCTGTCTATCCGTCTACCGGCCTTTCTACTTGTCTATTTTTGTAATTGTCTTGTTTTTCTACTTTTCTTCTAGTCTACCTATCTACCTGGTTCTTCATTATCTACTTATCTACTTAACTAGTTGCCTACTTGTGTACTTGCTTATCTATTCATCTATTTATCTACTGAACTAGTTGTCTACTTATCTTCTTATCTACTTAAATGCTTATCTACTTGGTTCTTCATTATCTACTTATCCACTGAACTAGTTGCCTACTTATCTACTTGCGTATCTATTTATCTACTTATCTACTGAACTAGTTGTCTAATTATCTTCTTATCTACTCAAATGCTTATCTTCTTGGTTCTTTATATCTACTTAACTAGTTGCCTACTTATCTACTTGCTTATCTATTTATCTACATATCTACTGAACTAGTTGTCTACTTATCTACTTGTTTATCTATTTATCTACTTATCTACTGAACTAGTTGCACTACTTTTCTACCTATGTGCTCAATCACTTGTCTACTTGTTTTTTTATATATCTACTTATCTACTGAACTAGTTGTCTACTTTTCTACTTATATGCTCAATTACTTGTCTACTTGTTTGCTTATTTATCTACTTATCTACTTAACTAGTTGTCTACTGATTACTTATATGCTCAAGTACTTGTCTACTTGTTTGCTTATTTATCTACTTATTTACTTAACTAGTTGTCTACTTATTACTTATATGCTCAAGTACTTGTCTACTTGTTTGTTTATTTATCTACCTAATATTTAACCTGTCTGTTTCTGTAAGATTTAATTCTTGTTTTTAATCTTCTAATAAGTCACGCAGGCATCATTCAGATCCAAGTTAGGAGACGATTTGGTTGAATGAAGGGGGGGGTTGATATGGGGAGGGGATTTGCTAGGAGGGGAGGTGGGTTGATAGAGGTGGGGGGGGGGTATTCTTTTTTTGCAATGCAGTGTGTTTAATGCATCATGATTTTGTGCATGCAATCCAGGGCACATCGAACACTATTTGAGCTCATACATGTCTTCTTGTGTTCTTGTCTATTTATCTTTATCTAATCTTGCATCCTTGTCTCCTTGTTTTTTTAGTTTTTGTCTTCTATGTCTTCTTTAGTTCTCAAAGTTCCAAACATTAATTAGGAATACAAAAAAAAGTTTTAAGGAATTAAGTCTTTGTCACAAACTCTAATCTTTAATTTTGCAACTAAATGTCGTAGACCTGAGATATTTCAAGCTATGAGTTCTGTTAGATCATATAGTCTAAGTTGAAAATATCAAAGGTTAACACCATCAGGTTACAAAGATATTGGGATTCGAAAAGTTTAGTTTGTTGCTAAGACTCAGTTTCGTTAAAGAACCCCATTAAAATGTAACGATTAAATTGAACGTAAAAATAAATAAAAATAGTTTTAATTTAAGTTTTGAGCAGACCTTGTATTTTATGTAATTACCCCATATGCTTGACATATGATACCGGTTTACAATCTATCATACTTCCCATAAATTTAACTTTTTACCTCCTCTGTTTATTTTGATATAATTCACTTTTTATCCAATTAAAATTATGGGGTGCGATAAAGAATGAGATTTATTAAACGAAAAATGGGACAGTGTCGGAGAAAATTGGATAAAAAGAGCACATTTTAGGATAGACGCGTGTTTTTTAATAATTGAGACTTGATTTTTAACCAATTGCGATCTTCTTGCTTTTTAGTAGTAATTAATTGCACACATAAAAAACATACTTTTTATCTTTTGAAATATGAAGAATTTTGTTGCAGAGGTTTGCACGTAAAACAGTTTTAGAAAAAAAGGCAGAAATTTTTTTTTTCGAGACTAAATCATTTTTTTTCTATTTAGATATAACAGATTGCAAACTGAAACTTATTCTTGGGTTAATATGGACTCTGATTCTACATTACTCTATCACAATGCCTATGTATGACGGGTAAGCTATTCTAGTCTTGAACATTTTTCATTTATAAGGCGTTAGGAAGGATGTAATTGACGTCAACAAATTTTAACTCTTTGCTGTGATCAAATAGATTGTCAAATACAATAGATGGCAACAGAAAATTCGACCAACTGCGCACAACGTCACAAGTGTCAAATGTAAAAAGAAAGACGACATGTACTCTAATTAGTTGATGATTTCCAAGATTCAGCGTAGATAAATGTCGTCTCTGTAGGAATACGTAAAAAAAATATTTACAACTCAAAATTACATTTAGTATATGGCCTGATTCTTTTTTGTACTTGACAACCTATTTGGGTGTGATTGCGTTTGAAAGTTTATTTTTGTGAGTTAATGCTAAAAATTATATAAATCAGTTAAATTAAAAGCTGAACAATTTTGAAATATTAAATGTCTGCTGCTACAACAATGAAATTTTTGAATTTTGAATGTGTTCTTATGAATACGTATATGTTTAGTACATATAATGATAAATAAATATTAAAAACTATTGTATTTGTAGACCTGAGTTGGGAGGAGCACAGGAAGAAAAAACTCCTAAACAAAGGTAAACACTGAATATGTCGTAAGTTCAAGCTGCCCGATTCACTAAGATACTCTTTAAACCTTTGTCTGTGTGACAATGAGGAAGATATTCTAGTTTTTCAAACTTCAATGTTAACAAATGTTAATGCAGACAATTATCTTTATTGTCTCTACTTCATAAATCCGCTGATTACTCTTAAAGGGAATTCATAATAAAATAAAGTTGATTTTAAGCCAGAAAAACCAGAACATCTCATTTATTTATGGAGAAAGGTTTAACAATTATCATTTTTAAGATCTGAACAGAATCTAAAAACTAAAGAAGTTTCTTAGATCTGTAAAGAACAAACTATATTAAATCTCTATTTGGGTTAAAAAGGATAATTTCATAAAAGTTTTTTTATGTGATTAAAACAGAAATGGGATACACAACGTTTTTTTGCAATCAATAAGAACTCTGAAGTGTTTTAAAAAAGAATGAATTCTATGAAGGATTACTAAGAAAAAAGCAGTTTGTATATATATTTATATCTTAAAATATATTCAGATCATTGATTAAAAAGTGCGTATTCTATCATTCTATGCGTGTCAGGCCAAACTGGGGTTTTGAGAATGAGATATTAGAGAGTTGAAGTAATGATGTATTTTAGGCCTTGGGGGACATATTGGTTCATATCAGACATTCAGGGGGAGGCATGCTAACTGGGGGGAGGTGGGGTATGACATAGGCATAAAAGGAGAACAGTAAAAAACCATTTAATGTATTTTGAACATTATTAATTGTTATTAAATATTAAAAAAATTTCAAAATATTCCAAATTGTCTCGAAACATTTATAATATTACTAAGATATTCTAAATGGGTTCGAAACATTCCGAATATTTCTAATATTCAAGATTGTTCTGAAACATTCCGGATATTTCTAAAATATTCAGAGTTGTTCCGAAATGTTCCAACGTTCCCAAAATGTTCCTAACTATTCCTAACTGAGTAACTATTATTAGATTAATGGGCTGGCTTCAGAACAAACTACCAAATGTTCCAATTAACAACTTCAACAGTGACTGGAACGATGGGAGAAAGGTAAAAGACAATAATGGACACAGACAAATAGACGAATAGATAAACAGACAGATAGAAGAAGAGATAAACAGACAGATAGACGAAGAGATAAACAGACAGATAGACGAAGAGATTAAGAGACAGATAGACGAAGAAATAAACAGACAGATAGACGAAGAGATAAACAGACAGATAGACGAAGAACTAAACTGACAGATAGACGAAGAGATAAATAGACAGATATAAGAAGAAATAAACTGACAGATAGACGAAGAGATAAACAGACAGATATACGAAGAGATTAACAGACAGATAGACGAAGAGATAAATAGACAGATAGACGAAGAAATAAACAGACAGATAGACGAAGAGATAAACAGACAGATATACGAAGAGATAAATAGACAGATAGACGAAGAGATTAACAGACAGATAGACGAAGAAATAAACAGACAGATAGACGAAGAGATTAACAGACAGATAGACGAAGAGATTAACAGACAGATAGACGAAGAGATAAATAGACAGATAGACGAAGAAATAAACTGACAGATAGACGAAGAGAGAAACAGACAGATAGACGAAGAGATAAACAGACAGACACAGATGCAAACAGACAAAGTTTAATGACAGATGAGTGTAAGGTTGTTTTGTTTGAAGTTTATTGCAAGATTAAAATAAAATACTAGAAGCATACATGAGATGAATAATAGATAGAAAGAAAGAAAGAAAGAAAGAAAGAAAGAAAGAAAGAAAGAAAGAAAGAAAGAAAGAAAGAAAGAAAGAAAGAAAGAAAGAAAGAAAGAAAGAAAGAAAGAAAGAAAGAAAGAAAGAAAGAAAGAAAGAAAGAAAGAAAGAAAGAAAGAAAGAAAGAAAGAAAGAAAGAAAGAAAGAAAGAAAGAAAGAAAGAAAGAAAGAAAGAAAGAAAGAAAGAAAGAAAGAAAGAAAGAAAGAAAGAAAGAAAGAAAGAAAGAAAGAAAGAAAGAAAGAAAGAAAGAAAGAAAGAAAGAAAGAAAGAAAGAAAGAAAGAAAGAAAGAAAGAAAGAAAGAAAGAAAGAAAGAAAGAAAGAAAGAAAGAAAGAAAGAAAGAAAGAAAGAAAGAAAGAAAGAAAGAAAGAAAGAAAGAAAGAAAGAAAGAAAGAAAGAAAGAAAGAAAGAAAGAAAGAAAGAAAGAAAGAAAGAAAGAAAGAAAGAAAGAAAGAAAGAAAGAAAGAAAGAAAGAAAGAAAGAAAGAAAGAAAGAAAGAAAGAAAGAAAGAAAGAAAGAAAGAAAGAAAGAAAGAAAGAAAGAAAGAAAGAAAGAAAGAAAGAAAGAAAGAAAGAAAGAAAGAAAGAAAGAAAGAAAGAAAGAAAGAAAGAAAGAAAGAAAGAAAGAAAGAAAGAAAGAAAGAAAGAAAGAAAGAAAGAAAGAAAGAAAGAAAGAAAGAAAGAAAGAAAGAAAGAAAGAAAGAAAGAAAGAAAGAAAGAAAGAAAGAAAGAAAGAAAGAAAGAAAGAAAGAAAGAAAGAAAGAAAGAAAGAAAGAAAGAAAGAAAGAAAGAAAGAAAGAAAGAAAGAAAGAAAGAAAGAAAGAAAGAAAGAAAGAAAGAAAGAAAGAAAGAAAGAAAGAAAGAAAGAAAGAAAGAAAGANCCTTTTATTGAATATAATTTATTCAAATGAACCTGACACATGTAGGCTTCAACGACTAGATACAAATAAAACGTATAAAAAAAATCTCATTCTAAATAAAAACAAATTTCATAACCCGCATGCCACTATTAAAGAAACCCCCAAACAAGTTTTACGCTTTAATTCAATTCACAGTGTATTTGTTAATCAATTTATTGCTAATAGTTACAATTTGGTTTACTTCCATCCCAAACTTTGATAATATTCCCTTGAACATAAGCATGTGTGTTCTATATGCCAGGGAATAAAAGTAAATGGAATGGAAATGGCACTGGTCTGACATGAGAAAGCCAGTCCCCATGCTTTACAGACGGGTTCTTTATTGCAGCGCATGCGTACGAAACACTGAGCCTTAACAGAGACGCACACTCTTTTGGCACGGACACACGCACATTACGTTTCCGCCCCCTGCTATATGCACTCTTCAGAATAAATACAATGATTTTGATATAGATCTATAAGGGACCTTACATGGGTATTGGTAATAACTAGGTAGATACCATCCTGTTTGATCCTACATATACCATCCAAACCATCCCATTCGATCCTACGTATAATATCCATACCATCCCATTCCTATTTGATCCTACATTGTACCATCATACCATCCATACCATCCAATTCTATCCTACATATACCATCCATACCATCCGATTCCTATTCTATCCTACATATACCATCCATAACATCCGGTCCATTCGATCCTACATATACCATCCATAACATCTGTTCCATTCGATCCTACATATACCATCCATAACACCCGGTCCATTCGATCCTACATATACCATCCATAACATCCGGTCCATTCGATCCTACATATACCATCCATAACATCCGGCCCATTCGATCCTACATATAACATCCATAACATCCGGCCCATTCGATCCTACATATACCATCCATAAAATCCGGCCCATTCGATCCTACATATACCATCCATACCATCTGATTCCTATTCTATCCTACATATACCATTCATACCATCCTATTCCTATTTGATCCTACTATAACATACATACCATCCTCTATGGTCCCACATGTATCTAGCGATCAATAGCAAGATCGTTATACAGAAACTTTTAATATTTTTAGACTTTTAAAAGGTTTTACGACAATTTGAGAAGGGTCCAACGATTTAAAATTGTATTCTGTAGAAGATTTACTTTATAAAACATAAAATTTTGTTATCCTATAAGGCAAAAACGAACCAAAAACTTTAATGTAAAAAACCCAAAAACGATCGTTTTTGCCTAATATTTTCTTCTAGGGTAACAAATTTGCATGTTTGATAAAAGCAAACTTCTACAGAATAAAGTTTTAAAATGTTGGAACCTTTTCGTATTGTCCTAAAACCTTTAAAAAAGCTAAAAACATTACAAGTTTCAGTAAAACGAATCTGGCTATTGCCCATCCCTACAGGTGGATCCGCATTTGAACTACTGCCGTTTGAACTATGGTACGTTTGAACTATTGTTCGTTTGAACTATTGTTCATTTGAACTACTGACATGACGTCATATCCTGTAGTTTAAATCAACGCATTTCTTACTCATTTGAACTATTTTTCTACCCCAATTCAGTTTTAAAATTTTTTTTATAATCTCCATAAAGTTATATTCATGACAATTAATTAGATAAACATTACACAGAATGAACATAAAAATAGTTCAAATGAACATAAAAATAGTTCAAATGAACATAAAAATAGTTCAAATGAACATAAAAATAGTTCAAATGAA